TTATATTGATTGATTTATATTGATTGATTGATTGATTGATTGATATTGATTGATTGATTGATTGATTGATATTGATTGATTGATTGATTGATTGAAGACAGAAGGGGGGCTGTTCGCTTGCTATCATGTCGTCGACGAAGTTTCCCATTACGTGGACGGAAGTTTCCAATTACGCCGAATTGAAATTTCCTTTCTTTACGTGGATGGAGGTTTCCACTTACGTGGATGAAGTTTCACAAAAAAAGAAAACATTGGCACATTCATTCCCCTAACCCTTTTTCTTAGAACGACTACGTACATTCCCCTAACCACTCTGAGTCCCCTTCGCCTTCAGCCCAGCTATCCTACCTCCTACCTCCCTCCTCCCTCCTCCCTCCTCCCTCACTCCCCTCCTCCCTCTCTCTTCCTCCCTCCTTCCTCCTCCCTCCTACCTCTTCTACCTTCTACCTCCTGCCTCCCTCCTCCATCCTACCTTCCTCCGGCTTGCAGCCTACCTATCTTATCTCTACCTCGTATTCCTACCGATCTCCTCTGTCCTACCCCCTCCCTCCCTCCTCCCTTCTACCTCCTACCTCCCTTCTTCTACCTCTCTCCTCCCTCTCCCTCCTCCCTCCTCCCTCCTCCCTCCCACTGAGCAGCGAGGACATGTACGGCGTTGGCCTTGTAGTACAGTAAGTAGTATGTAGACCTGCTGTCGGACTAAGGGCCTCGCCGCACCACTCAACAAACGTGCAAAAATAATGAAAATATATCTCCTGCGAGAACGAGGAAAGGTACAACGGCCGTATGTTTTTTGTCTTTTTCTCATTTGGTGAGTGGTGGTGCGGTGAGACCCTGAACCTTCTAGTCGTCTGCGAAATTGTAATTGTCTAGCACGTTCCCTATTGGTGGTGGCTAATCAACCCTACACTGCGGATACGAGTATTTGTCGGATTTTCTTATGATAAAAAAAAAAAAATCGAATGATTTTCCTTTTACTGCCTTCGGATCGCAAATAGCCCTCCAATCAGGTGAGTCAAAAAAAAAAAAAAAAAAAAAAAAAAAAAGGGTAAGTCGAGCTGTTAGTACAGGCCCGACGCTCGCCGCATTATCTGCAAAAGCAGAGCGCTAGCAATTTCGAGCTGGCCGCTAAACCGTAGGCAGAGAGGGAGAAGAGGACTATTGTTTTGCTGTTTTCCGCCTTTGCGCTCCGATTCACAGTGTGACAATATATATATAGCCGTATATGGGCCAACTTTCAGTCTCGATACAGCGATAATGACCGGTCGTTCTATTCCTGTGAAGACGGTAGGGGGACCTCGCACCTGGGGGCCCTATAGGGTCCCATCGAAATTCTTTACCATTAAAAAAAATAAAAAAATAAAAAAATCTTTAATGGTAAATATTTTTTTATTTTTATTTTTAGGGATAATTTGCAAAATACCCCTATAACTTGAGTTATATGCCAAAATGCCCCTAAAAGATGTGGGTAGAGCGGAATACCCCTCTGACAAAAAAAGTGTTTTGTGAAATGCCCCTGGCGTTGGTTGGACCCGCCATCTTTTCAAAATGCCCCTACCGGGTACTATCCATCYTTGCAAAATGTCCCGGTACCTGCCAACTTTTCCMAGGCCCWGATTATTTTCGTTTTACCCCTACMGGGCCAGGTCATCTTTGCGTTTTGCCCCCTGGCGTTGGAGGCCTGCAACGGWCCTTTCCAGGCCCCAGGAAGGCACTACCGGGCCAMGGTCATCTTTGTGTTTTGTCCCCTGGCAGTTGTAGGCCGAAAACGGCCCTTTCCAGGCCCTAGGAAGCCAATACCAGGCCCTAGGAAGCCAATATCAGGCCCTAGGAAGCCAATACCGGGCCAAAATCGGAATTGTGGAGAGTACGGTGCTTTCTTCACGTTTGTGCTGCCGTTGGCCCGGTATTGTGAAGCCCATGAATGGGCAGTCAGCTTCTCCCACCCAATCCACCCCCCATTCATGGGCAGGGTGTAGAAACAAGTCTGGATGAAACAGCAGCGGCCAGTGCTATGATGAACCGCACACACAGCACACACAGCACACACAGCACACACAGCACACACAGCCAGGGAAGGCTGTTGCAGACCAGATCTTGCAACAACTGAGCACCCTTTGGATAAAACCGTGTAATATCAGCGTTTGCTATCCTGTTAATGCCGCAGTCCACACCCAAAGCAGTCCTGTCCAGTCTGTTGCGGTGGTCACTAACCATAGGCAATGCCTGTTCTTGACATACAAGGGGTGCCTTAAAGAAAGCCGGAGTACTATAGACAGTGAAGAAAAGACTCTGCAAGGCAAATGGTATGTAACGGATTTATTGTGGTGCGCATAGCTATAGAAGTAGCACTGTTACARTGTTGGCTTTCGGGCCTGTGCTTTATTGTCTTTTTTTTTCCYCTTTTTTAAGCATTTGCATGATTTGATACTGCTAGTGGTGGTGACACGAGCCCCCGTAGAGGTAAATTATTTCAGTTTGGGATCTACCGATGAGGGTGCAAGGGCTGTTGTGGTGACATTCTCTCTCTCTCTCTCTCTCTCTCTCTCTCTCTCTCTCTCTCTCTCTCTCTCTCTCTCTCTCTAGCTTGAGGTACCCTCATGGATTTACACAACAGGAAGGTCGTACTGTTACAATATCTGCATGTGGGCGTCCCACGAATTCCCCTTTTTCAATTTTTTTTCCATTGATTGCATACATCTCAGAGTACCTGTCAGATGGAGGAGGCAAGCAAATAAGCAAATGATGACATCCAGCAGTGGAATTAATTATGAGTCTTTATGACCCATTAGCTATTTGCGAGAAAGGRAAGCAAGARAACCTGCACAAACTGCAATGCAATTTCCCCCCGTGATAAGGAGTGYTGAGTGATTAMCYGGTCTCATTAAAGTCAAAATACTGCATAGCATGCCCGAAATCTTAACTATGTCCCTGCATACAACATCGAGCCTAAAAGAATGTGYGAGGCTGTGAGCATGCTACACATGCAAAGAARGAAAGGAAAACAAATCTAACTGAGGTAGCAAAATGATGGACAGAAGTTCAGCGGTACAGAAAATGTAAGTTTGTAATACATAAATATCTGAGGTGAAATTACCTTCATTTCAGAAAATGCAAGTTCAACAAAGAACATGCAACAACAGGTTACTGTATCGCTAGAAATGGACAAACACAGTCCGCAACGCATGACCTGCGGAAAACCAGCAACCTCCCTAACTTCTTTGACCTACTAACAACTGTTGTACAATAAACAAAAATTGTGGGGTTCATTCTTTTCAAGAATGTTCACAAAATACTTGATGCTGTGAAAAGCATGTGCAAGGCAGTCCCGTGAAAGACTTGGATGATGCGTGTCCTCCTTCGCCATTTGAAATCCCTGCTGGACAATCCTATTCATTCACCGTATCACAGGTCCGTCGTGAGTGGCCTGACCTGCTACACAAACTGCATTTGAAATCCCTTTTGGGCTGCTCATSARCTTTCATTCTCTTCCRTYTRTGTYGAGGACGCCCACGGGATTTSCGCGGAATTGGCGGGAGGATAGTGTTGTCGTCCTCCATGTCATGAACATTTGYTGGTTCTGATGCCGTTTCCATGCCCAGCGTCTCAGGCGATGGTTGCGATGCTGAAGTCACACATGTTTCAGTTGCTGGCATGTCTGGTGCCCATGTGTCCTTCGGTGCGAGCGGGTGAATGAGGCCGGCGTAAGTTGCCCTGTAATTTTGTGCCGTGAAGAAAGCCACACAAAACTGTCTGGGACACTCACGCTTCATGAGAATCACAATTGTGGCATGAGAGCAAGGGATACCTTCTGCGGTCCACCGTCTGCATGTGCATGACCGGCTATTCACAGTGACGGTGTTTGAGTCATTCCCGCTAAGGACTTCAAAAACATGGTCATCTGTTGGAATGACTTGAAATTGACGACCCTCATCTCGGCTCGCAGACAACCTTGCTTCTACACCCGGAACGAGAGCGGTCGTGATCCCATCTGCAAGCCTTCGACGTTGGAGGTACCACACACAGAGCTGCCGCCGCATGTGCTCAAACATGTGCATGGCTGGTTTTTGGCGCGCTGCAAGAATCCAACCGAATCCAACCGTTCAAAGACTCTGCAATGTTTGATGTGTAGTGCCCGTAATGGTGACCCACAAAGAAAGCGTCGCTCCAATGTGTGGGATCGCATGTTTTCAAAAACCATGTTGTCGTTTGCTTGTCCATGACATGCATGCGAGAGATAATTCTATTGAATTCGACAGAAGTTGGTGCTTTCGCAGCGGACCACACCAATGGCAAGTAAAGCAGTCCACTGTTCCTTTTCGCCACATTGTCTGCAATGTGCTTCATGCAAAACCCATGCGGGCAGTCATAAAACACAATTTGCACAACTTGAATAAGTCCTTTCTCTCTATCGGATAGAAACGTGATGACAGATGTGTCCATTCCCCGCGATTCAAATGTCCCTTTCAGATGGTTGAGGAACCAGGACCAGTTGTCTGCATCCTCCCCAGCAACGAGTGCGAAGGCAACAGGGAAAAGTTGACCTTGCGCATCAATTGTTGTTGCCCCCATGAGACAACCTTTGTACCTGGTCTTGATGAATGTCCCGTCAAGACCTATGAGGGGTCTGCAATGTTGGAAACCTCTTATGCATGCGTCTAACGCAAGGAACATGCACTCGAAACGTGAGTTTCCCTCCTCAGTTTGCATGAACGCGAGACTCCCTGGATTTGACCGTTGCACCTCCTTGCAATACTGCCGCAAGTACCGGTAACCGTCGTCATCACTTCCGAGAATTCTTGCCTTTGCGATCTCCTTCCCTTTCCATGCACAACGGTACTTCACTTTCACTCCGTGATCGCGGAACAGGTCATTCATGATCTCCACCGGCTTGTAATCTGGCGTGTCTCGCAATTTTGGCTCTATCATCTGCGCAACCCATGCGCTGGTGGCTTGCCGGTTTGACAGCTTCGTGAGGCCTCCGCACGTGTGCTCACCAATGCCCTTCACAACAAAAACCGGGCTATCGCTTACATGGGACCCATGCAAACGCCACATACACTTGTCATCCTTGCATTTAATCGTGTACCGCTTGTTGTCGGATTTCACAACAACGAACTCATAGCAGTTTTCGACTACATGCTGGGCCACTGCATTGCGCAAATCTTTCACGGCCGGGAACTCCTGCCTCTCGTAGAGACTTGCTTTCATCTCTTTGCTTGCACCACCATCGTCTGCACTCGGCAAGTCAAATTGAGTGCCCAACCCGTCGTGCTTATCTCCCGATGACTCTTCTTCTGCTGAAGACCTCTCAGACATATCTCTCGAACAACCGGCTGTGAATTCCATCCGTGTTCGTTTTGCAGTGGGCATACGGTGCAGCACATTCCCGCTATCGAGTCGCTGTTCATCCTCCAATGTGGTGCAAGGTTGACGTGACGAACTGCCAACACAAACCCGCCGAGACATTCCAACCGGTCCGTTTGCTTGCTGCAATTGGCCCAACAATGCGTTGATCACCACCTCTTGCTGCGACACTTTATCGAGCAGCGTTTGTGCCAAGCCTTTAGACATATCACATGTCACGGTGTTGTCTTCCCCGATCATCTGTTCCGAGGGCATGTCCCTCGACGGTGTCCCAAACTCAAACATTTCTTGCTGCCTCAACCAATGATGAGGTGGAATGTCGTGGTCGATCTGGTGTGGGTACATACCACCATGGCCATTAGTTGTCGGAAAAGTGACAGACCTAGCTGGGGGGTTGACAGGGCTGCGTGTCGCACGATGCATACCTCGGTGCATTGCACCATTCGGCTATGCACTCGAGGATGAAAACTGTGAATCCATCTGTTATGTGTGCTTGTGATGTGATGTTGCTGCTCAATCGCTGCAACAGAACCAGCACACGACTATGAACTATGAACCTGCATCGCATGCATGCGGAAAAGAATGTCAATGGATACCTCCTCAAAGTGGTCCACTGGACAATAGACACTAGACGCTAGACAATTGCAGTGCCTACTCCCAGTGGTGCACCTGTCTGGAGAGCCAATATTCAGCTTCATAGAGCGCATCCCTTCCAAATGCAACTGTTCTATTGAACCTGAGAGTCAGTGTGCAGCTTTGCAACATGAGCACTGCACTCCAGACAGTGCACCTGCCTGATAGTCTATATTCAGCTGCACAACACAAGCACTGCAATCTGGCAAACTAAACATCGAACTGAACAGCAACTCCAAACAGACTACTAGATGACCCGGTGCAGCTTCTGCTGCAAAAGAATAATGGGAAAAAGGTGAAAATAACAGAAAGCTTAATTAACTACCTGTGCTACGATTCGCTGCTTCGTTGCAACTAAGAAAAGCAAAAAAGGTGTAAAAAAACATGGTGAACACAAAAACACCCTGTCATTCGATGTTTCTTTCCCAATAACAGACGAAAAAAAACAGCTACAATACACCTAGAAAGCATGATAAACCAACAACAAAAGCATGATAAACCACAGAGCAGGATGAACCACAGGCAGGTTACTAATCTCTCTCTCTCTCTCTCTCTCTCTCTCTCTCTCTCTCTCTCTCTCTCTCTCTCTCTCTTTCTCTCTCTCTCTGTGCCGTCGTGTTGTTGTTCTTCTTCTTCCCTTTGTTTCTTTGTTGCAGGGTTAGCTCCTTCCAGACATGGCCAGCATCGAGTTGCTGTTTTTTTTCCCCCCTTTTTTTGCCATGTCAAGGAGAAAGTGCATAGATGTGCTTCTTCATAGTGTTTGTGACGTTGCATGTGCATATCTCTATTCATTCTGTCATGGTTATTTGAGGGCAAGCAAGATGGTGTTCATCACAGTGGGTCGACATCGATGCCACGAAAGTGGGAAAAACAAAATCACTCTTTTTTAGGGGATTGAGCTCCAACTTTCTTCATTTTTTTCCCCTGTTTGTATCATCCAGAAGCAAAATGCTTTTACAAAACCTTTCTGCCACGTGGCCCTCCCGGTCCTCCCGGACGCATCCACAGCGTGCAGCCCAGGGCTACCCTGTAGAGACGAACTCCATACACACGCACACACAAGCACACACACAAAAAAAAAAAGACGGACCAAGAACACCTCCCCATGCAACAACAACAACCAAGCGTCACCCACGCTGCACATTCCCTACCGCTTATTCCCACTAATAAAATCTGCTGACAGGTCTGTCACGGGTTCTCCTCTCTCTCTCTCTCTTTCTCTCTCTCTCTCTCATCTTTGTGCCACTTGTTACCCATTCCAGTGTTCCACCCGCCAAAAAAAAACACGCCGTCAGAATCGGCGGCAACCACTCCGATCGTTCCTCCGCCTGAAAATCCGGCGTGCCGGCCTCCACGCCGTACCATTCCAGCACCAAGCTGTCCTATACAAAAATCCTTTCAAGTCACGGCCGCCGAAATGCATCAAATTTTGTGCTTCTTCATAGCAGCGGGAGACTTTTTTTCATTGTGAGGGTTGTATCACAATATCATCGCAACTGACCACTGATGATGCCACGTGGCTAGAAAACGAAAATGCCATGCTGCATCAATTTATTATGCCACGTGGCCTGTTCTCAAGAAAAGGGGCTGGGGGGTAGCGGGAAGCCAGTTTTCACTACAAAAGGTCATCTCGATGGACGAACGTATCACCATATACACATAGAGGACTATCAAGATTGATCAGCCCCTGGAGGCTGATGTGCGAAAGCAAGGAGAGAAAACACATGGATCGAGAGAGAGAGAGAGAGAGAGAGAGAGAGAGAGAGAGAGAGAGAGAGAGAGAGAGAGAGAGAGAGAGAGA